GAAATAAGTTAGTGCCAAGAGGCTCCAGCGGAGAACCTTACCTGTACTGCCAGCTTTTGGTACTGCCTCCTCCGCCTCCTCCTCGGCTACCAGTGCTGCTGATCCCACTATTGCTGCTGCTTTTACTTGTGCAGTTTGGGGCTGGGAGCAAGATCTCCAGCTTGCCTTCACTTTCAGATACTTTCATAGTGGCTGTTGTAGCTGCCACCACAGGCTCCCCACTTTGCATGGCAGAAAATACCGGGCAGCTCCCACCCACAAGGGTGGGAGGGTGCAAGACCACAGCGACAGTAAAGTCACCGCGGTTATGGGGAAACCTCTCGAAAACTAAATTGTTACTATGAATGCTGCCACTCCCACTTAAAAACTAGAGCACTCTCGGTGCCGACTTTTGTGTTCCACAAACAAACAAAAATTGGAAGCTTGGGACAGGATAAGCTTAAATCTGTATTGCGGGGGGGGGGCGCGAGTTTCCTTGATACAGAAAGGAAGAGCAATGGGGAAGTGAGAGCAAGCAGAAGTCGCCCCCGGTAGGCTCTTCAACCTCAGTAACAGTATCAGGAAAGGGCAACTCTGTTGGGTATTTTTTGGGGGGGCTCAGGCATCCCAACCCCACTGGCTATGCAAGGGGTTGAGTAACTCTGCGTTAAAGAACGGTCAAGAGGTGGGGAGGGTTAGAAAGGAGGAAGGGGCGGCGGCAGCGGCGGCAATTCCAATAAGGAGGATCTCAAAATTGTGCAAAGGGAGATGCTCCCTCCGGAGACCCAGAGGAGGCGACTCGAGGCTGCTTCTCCTCCCAGCCCGTCCAACCTTCCCCTTCCTCCCCCACCTTCCCTGCCCAGAATCCGCCCGCGGGAAGGGGGTTGCTCGTCCTTCCTCTTCCTCCTTCGGCTCCGCCACCCCCGCTTACTCCCTCACGCTGGGTCCGGAGCGCCAGCAGAAGAGCCCGTCCGGCTCGCTCGGCCAAGCGCCCGTCGCCAGCAAGACCTCCCGGCCCACCCGAACCGAGGGTAGCAGCAACAGCGGCGGCGGCAGCAGCAGCAGGGCCGCCACCCCTTCCGGG